AATCACCATGTCGTCCTACTCACAAACCGAACCTGACATAAAAATCGAGACCATTCAGCCGCTCATTGAGAACTTCTTTACAAGGCTGACTACAGAGGAGTGGAGCTTGTTAAAGAAAGGCAAACCGGATAATGTCACGAAGGTTCTGTTGGCACAGCTTTTTCTTGACATCCTGTCAACAGTTTCAACAGCCATGCTGAAGACTCTTTCTTTCTCAACTGTAACTCAGGAGGATGTTCGGTCCAGTCTGGGCGACACAATCAGGGCGAGTTTTGCACCGGGCGGTGAACTTAAGTCTGTGAATTTGGTTAATCTCACAGACTTGGTTGTGCAGGAGGTGACTGACACTATCAACTCCAGCCTGAGTAATAGTCCCACCTCTGTGCCCTCTCAGGGGCCAGTAATGACCCATGTCACAGACCCTGTCAAACTGGACAAAATGATCCATATAATCAGCAAGACTTTCATGGAATTTGCTGCTAAAATGTGTTGCTTTTACGGCAGCAAGCTGCGAAAACGTCGAAGCATGATCACTCCCTCACAGGAGAAGGACCCTGCAGAGAGCGAAGCGGACGAGAGCTGCTCATGCTCAACAGTTGAGGCAACATACAGCAGTGTTCAAAGTGAGGAAAGGAAAAATTTCGAGAAAGTCATTTCCCAGGAGGTGACTGACATCACAGAGCACATTTTTGATGAGATCTTAAACAATAAGAACATCAAGCAGAGTTCTTCTGAGGAGATCAGAAATGCTGCAGAGGCAATTATTAAGGCGGTCATGGTGGAAAGCATGCAAATTGTTATACATGAAGTTCCTGGCCTCCACTCCAAAAAGAGAAAGAGTAGTGAAGCACAAGAGAGGAAGATCAAGAACACTTTTGCAAAGACATTTGCCACAGCTTGGATTTTCAAAATTGTGACTAAAGTCAAKAAGTGTTTCAAGAAGAAACCAAGAAAGACCAAGCATTCAATAGAGAATTTGATGTCGTACATTTACTCTCTGCTTCAGRTAGAGATGAGGCTGACGACTGAAGATGAGACTTGTGTCTTTGAAAAAATGAAAAGTATTCCACCTAACAGAGTTCTTTTGTTTACAAAAGGAATCGCTGATCTCCTCTACTTGTACGTCACAAATAAGGCGATCTCTCTAGATTCAAAAAACACAGCGGTTGTTCCTGAGTCACATACCAAAATATACAGAGACATACAGAAGGAGGTGTCATATTTCCTATCAATCATGAGCTGGTTTGTGAACAAGATGGTTGATAGCCACACCAACAGGGTGATGGACGCTTGTAGGATCTCACCAGTAACACCAGAGCTCCCAAAGGTCATTGAAGTGAAGAAGAGAAAAAACGAGATGTCAGAAGTCCAGAAAAACATGTATGTCCGTTTGCTCGTGAGCCAGCTTGTCACAAGGGCACACGAGAAGGCTAAAGTGGATTTGGGAGTAGAGAATGGATCGGAAATAATTGAGAATCTGTTCAACAACATATGGGCCGAGTTGAAAGACGCTGACTTAAATCTGACCCATAAAAACATTGAAATACCACACAAGATCATTTTCAAGGATCTACGTAAGATGTGGCCCTGTCCAGAGCTGCTGCTGGTTGAAATGCGTWTGAAGAACCCAGAGGTTGAGAMATGCATCGCCACAGCTTTGAAAGGTTTTCTGTCCAAAAAGAGTGTCCTCTCCCGATTCTTCTCATGTCGGAAAAACTGAGAGAAACATCTCTCTCTCTGTCCTCCTGATGACATGAAGGAGAAGACAGCAAACGAGATGTCATAAACCCAGAGAAACATGTATGTCCGTTTGCTCGTGAGCCAGCTTGTCACGAGGACACACGAGAAGGCTAAAGTGGAATTGGCAGTCGAGATCATTATCAAGGACCTACGTAAGATGTGGCCCTGTCCAGAGCTGCTGCTGGTTGAAATGCGTATGAAGAACCCAGTAGTTGAGACATGCGTCGTCACATCTTTGAAACGTCTTCTGTCCAAAAAGAGCGCCCTCTCCCGATTCTTCTCATGTCGGAAAAACTGAGGGAAACATCTCTCTTTCTTTCTCTCTCTCTCTCTTTTTTTGTTTCTCTCTCTCTCTTTCTCTCTCTCTTTCTATTTCTCTCTCTCTTTCTGTTTCTCTCTCTCTCTATTCATGGTAGTGGGGTTTACTCTTGAGTGCTTCAGTTTCTTCCTCCACTTATCAAATTGTATATGAAATGAAATTTAATAAAGAATTTCAGATTTCTATCATGAAAGATCACTTTCAGACATCGCACCCAGGGTTCTGGCTGCAGGCTTGATGTCTACTGACATTTCTCTGTACAATGGGGATGGACTTTAATGGACGAAAGAGATTTATCTCAATTTTGTTTCAAGTTTGAGGAGGTTTTGGGACGTCCAGCATTTTATTTCAGAAAGACGAGATAAACAGTGATTAGAATTACCCTCTTCACTGGTTTTTAATGGGACACCTGATTGAATGCGGTCAAATATATTGTGATTGTTCAGAACATAAGTCAACTCATGGTAAACAATCTTCTCTAAGACATTGGTAAAAAAAGTGGCAATTTAGAAATGGCTCCAAAATGTATGAAATAAGCGGAGAGTCACGGTTACTGTATTTTGTCCTCTTTTATTAAGAGTGTTTTCAGTTCAAGTTTGAACAGTGTTTTTGTTACGTTTTGAATCCGTGTTTTGTGCTATGTTCATCTCTGTGTTTCTGTCAGGTAGAGGGGGGGGAATGCAGTAACAAAAGTTTTGTCGTCTTATGCCCTCGTCGTCATTTACCCTGATCATGTTCATGTGTCTCGTCATCTTTCGCCACGTTCCCCGTAAGTTGTTCATGTCTTTCCCTGTGTCACTCCCCTGTTTTGCCTGAGTGCATCTTTTGATTTATTGAAGATTCCCATTGTTACGTTTTACCTCTTCTATGCTTTGTGTTATTATTTTATATTTATTTAGAGACCACATTAGATCCCACAGCACCACACAATTTTCTCATGTGGTCAGCTGTGGAACTGCAGCGTGAATGAAGTCGTAATACTACAAGAAAAAATACATCTTTTTTATGAAAATGTATTTTGCAAACAAGCAGCAAGGAGAACCTGTGCTATGGTTTCTGTACTGGACAATGTTTCTGTGCTATTCATGAGGAGGAGGAGGAGATTTTTTCCCCTGATTTGTAAAGAACTTCATGAAATTGTCACTGCTCAGAATTATAGGACTGATGGACCAGTACAGCTATGACTCTCTGTGAGCTTGGCCACAGAGCTGAAGAGGAACCTGAGGTTGTTCTTATTTTCTTCTATTAATAATGAATAATAGGAGGTTCTGGAATTTCGTAGTGCGTTCGTATACGTTATTAGAGTATCTTTACCGGCTAAGAGAAAAATCTCTCGATTGGTGGAAACGCCATTTCCTTTCTAGCTTCCATGATTGTTATTATTGAGTTTAGTGTGTCCTATCATTTTCATAAGTGAATGGAGCATCCGCTGAACTGTTAGCATTGTCCCTTCTCGCTAGAATTTCAGGAAGAGCTGATCGACTCATTGCCCTTTTTCTCTTGCCATCCTGAGTCAAGTGATAAGAACTATGGATTTCAAGAAGTGCTTTAGCCATCATCTCTGCCTTCTCTTCATCAGACACTGCCGCATCCTCCCCCATCTTTGGTATTGGATACTGACATTCCCTTCCGATTCCCCTCATGCTCTTAATCATGCCCCAAACATCTCAGAAAGGTGTTGATCTCCCTGTTCTGAAAAGCCTTTGCAGCTTAGACAGAAACAGTTGATGAGTTACTGGAAAAAATACCACTTCTGCACTTTTTATCTCAGTAAAAGGGAGGAGATTCTGGCAAGACATCTTCATTCCTGAGCCTCACACACACACACCCACACACACTCCCTCTCCTTCCCTGTGAGGTCAGTAGATGCTCTCGATAAACTGGAAGTTACATATAAACAGAGGATGAAGAACTTTACTTGGGATGTTTATTTTGACAACTGCTCTCACTCTCTCTCTCTCTCTCTCACACACACACACACACATGCACATACCTCTTGAACCCCAGCACAAGAACCCAGGACATGATGTGTTTCCTGTCTGGACTGAATGTGTGTGTTCACGTATTTATCTCAGTTTGAGTGTATTTATGTACAAGAGAGGGCGAGGGAGATATAAATCAACAAATGCTTCCAGAGAGAGAGGGAGGGTTGAGAGTGATTGAGTCCGCTCCGCTGTGTCTTCAGTCCGGCTTCTCTGTGATGGACCTGCTGAGGTTCACCTCCACAGTCAACCTGCTGAGAGAGAGCGCTGCTTTTCAGAGCATCAGCAAAAGGCTCAGGAGGAGGTAGGCAACACCTGAGTGGTGTTAGAGAAGAAGAAAAAAATATTCCTCTCTCACTTTGGAAGGATTCTTATGTTTCCCCCCTGTTCATTTGTTGGTTTGTTTGATCGAAAGCAAGATAACACAAAAACTACTTTACGGAGCGTGATGGAATGATGTATTATGGGTCAGTTAAGAACCCATTACATTTTTGTACGGATAAGATGACGGATCCAGGAATCTGTAACATTGTTTTTGATTTCTCAGAGAATAACTTGCATCAACAAAGTAATCCCAGAACTACTAAAGGAATTTACAGAAAATTTGGTGGAAGGACCGAACATGGGCCAAGGACTATTGGGCCTCGGTAGAGATATGAGCTCTTCTGAATGACATTCTAGTCGCAATGTTTTGATTTAGCAGCTTTTATGAAGGAACCAGGATCTCTGGTTGCTTTCGTGTGCTTTGTGTGAGAGCTGATGTAGATGAGAGGCAGCTTTGGTAACTTGGAGGTGACTGTTTTAAATCTTTTCTGAATCCTCAAATATCGCACCTGTCTTTTTTTCTTCTTCAAAGAAGGACACATTACTAACCCTGACCTGTGACAGACCTTTGCTGTTACATGAACCTGTCAAAAGATGGCGCTATAATAACACATCGTTCGCCTCCTCTTCTGTAGAACCATGTCATCTCCAGAGGTGTGCTGGCCTGTGCCGATGCGAGCCATTGGGGCTCAGAACCTCCTCACCATGCCCGGGGGAGTTTCCACAGCAGGGTACCTCCACAAGAAGGGGGGCAGTCAGTTCAGCCTCATGAAATGTGAGTTCCTGATAAAAAAGATTTAACATCCAAGAAATGATCCAGCAACTTCTGTGTTTGCACCTTTTGAGGATGGATGGAAACCTTCATAATATCTTTCAGGGCCTCTGAGATACATCATCATCCACAAGGGCTGTGTGTACTACTTTAAGAGCAGTACTTCTGCAGCACCACAGGGGGCGTTCTCTCTCAATGGCTACAACAGGTCAGTGAAAACTCTTCAGCTGCTGAGTCATCAAACTGTGATGATGTTTTTAAGCACATTTACAGCTGACCATAAATAAAGATGGACGACATCACAGCTCCCCAACAGTGAAGCTGAATGATCTTGGCCCCCTAGTGACTCTTACGGTTGTTCTCTTCCATAGAGTGATGAGAGCAGCAGAGGAGACGACGTCCAACAATGTTTTTCCTTTTAAGATCGTCCACTTCAGCAAGAAACACAGGACGTGGTTTTTTTCTGCCGCCAGCGAGGACGAGAGGAGGGTGAGAACGACCACGCAATGAGTTTTAATATCAAAATTAATTTTACTATCAAAACGTTTTATGTTTTTCTGTTTGATTTCATGTATTGAATTTGCTCATCTTGCACAATGACATACACTCAGACCCCTGCTACGTGTCTTGTTGTCTCATAGAAATGGATGCGACACCTGCGGAGGGAGATCGATCACTACAATGACCGGAAAGAATCCCTAATTCCCAGGTAGCTTCACGTCACACATCACACTGTCTGGTGTGGATTAATGCACAGGCTGCAGCTCAGGGGCCCTGGATAGGCTGGATTATTCTTTAATTATCTCATTTTACTGCAGAGAAAACAACCTGGACCCCTATAGGCCTATCTATCTATTTATTAATCCATTTAAAGGTTCAGTGTGTAAAGGTTAGTGACATCTAGTGGTTAGGTGTCATGTTGCAGCTGAACCCCCCTCACCCTCTCCTTCCAAACATGAAAGAGAACCTTCAGTTTTCATAAAAACTCAAAAGGGCCTCCGTAGAGAGGATGTAAATACTTATATATAAAAGTATTAAATATAAAGTATTTAAATATATTAAAGGCCCATTCTTGGGTAAAGAAAACAACAATTGATACAATTTTAATGAAACGCTAGGAAAAACATGACAAGGGTTATTTTATATTCATTTTCTGCCAAATGATCCTTTCACCTCAATCTTACACTCGGAACTTTTGATAACATCAAGTTCATAATAACGTTGTCTTTGTTGCCGTAGCGACTCTGACTCAGATGCTGACAGTTTCTACGGCAGCATCGAGCGGCCCATGGACATCAAACACCACAACAGTAACGCAGACGATGGTAACAGAGCCCCGAAGAACGCACTCACAAAACACACGTGGTAGTTCTGTGTCGTTAACTCTCTCTGCTGTGCTCAGATTACGTCGAGGAGGATGATGATGATGATGATGAGGAAGACTATCTGAAGCCCGACGCCAACTATTCGCCGCCACATACAGGTGATGATGCCGCACAATACACACACAGTTATATCTGACTCCTGCTCTGTCCTTTTATATTCAGTAGGTGATTTGTTCATTGTTTCATTTACATGAAAACTTTTTTGTTTCAAGAATGATTTTGTTCAAAGAATAACTCTAGCTTCGGGGTGAAGTTACACAAAAACACTTTACCACAAACAGGAAATCAGTCCGATTTCTTTCTCACTGTTTCAGGTCGACCGACGGGGCCACCCCCCTCCTACCCTCCCCCTCCGGTGCCGCCAGTGTTCCAGCTTCGTCAAGACTCTGGTCCAAGTTTCCACAAAGGCCCACCTCCTCCCGTCCCATCACAGCACAGAACCTCGATCTCCCCACTCCCCAAAAGACCTCCGCCCGCTTTCCCACCTCCCTTCAGACTGAAGGACCCAAACAAAGGCCCCCCTCCTTCCCCTCTCCCCTTAATGTCCCACCTGAGCATGCCCTTGTCTTCAGACTCTCCTCCTCCTCCTCCTCCGCCCAATCCAAAGAGAACTCCTCCTCTGAACAAGGCGCCATACACAGGTGTGCCAGGGAACAGCAAGATTGACTGGAGGCCAATTTCAAACCAATTTGCCTCCACTCTGCCCATCTGTGAGGAATTAGACAAAAGGATGGTGCTAAATGGTCCCGCCCACTGCTCCGTGAATGTTGGAGGGAGCCAGTCGCTGGGAAACAGCCACCTCCACAGCAGGCCCACTCTGCTGCCCCATAAGTCCCCAAATCCTGGAAGGTCCACCACCAGACCTGGGACATCAGAATCCCTGTCCCCCAATCAGATGTCCCCCTGTCTCCCACCACTCCCTGACCACCCTCCGATCTCTCTTCTGCTCAAACCTGGACTACACAATAAGCCGGGGGTGAGCCAACCTCCTCCACCAGCCGTCAAACCCCCAACACCTGCAGCCAAGCCCAAGCAACCAGGAACCGCTCTTCAGTAAGCTGCATTCAAATGCAAAAACACATAAACCACAGAGAAGCAATTCCACATTCATTTAAAATCTGTTTGCCTTGTTGCATTAAATGAAAATGATATATACCATCCGATTCATTTAGTCGAGAGAGGAGTGTTTAGCCTGGCTTAGCAATTTAGAACAAATGTAGAAATAGAAAGTTAGAAACATCAGGAAAACTAATACAAACAACATCATCAACAAAAATAAATTATCCTCACGTTTTAGTTCCGTAAAATTCCCTTGAAATTAATTTCACATAGTCTGGAAAAATATAAAAAAAGGTGATTCTGGTTGATTCTTCCTCATTGAGAAATGTTTTCCCACCAGAAGAGCATCACCAGAGGGCCAGAGCTTCCGCTCGTCAGGGGACGAGGTGCCGTTGGAGTTCAGGAGGGAACGAGATCCGGTCAAAGGCAGAGACGACTCGGATGACGACTACGAGAATGTAAGAAAGTGAAGACTGAGGCTGAAGTCACATCAACTTTCACCACAAACATTTGAACGACCAACCGTCTGGAGAATATGTTTATGATTTGTAGGCGGGACCATCTCTGTTCTAGTTCTAATTCTACTCTGTTCTCCTGTAAACATGTTGTTTACGTGTTGGTGTTGTTTTTCCACAGGTGCAGCTGCCGGACTCCGTGTTCATCGACACAACTGAAACCAGCTTCGTAGAAAAGTATGACACATGCTTTATTTTTGAATACCGAGCTGTTAGTGTGTTCGATAGTTTCAGATCTAAAATGGTTGAATTGGTCTTATAATACGGTGTAGGTCAGGTGCATTGTGGGTAGATTTCTATGCTGAAGCAGTGGGGTTATTTTAATAGCACTTTATAAAGATAGTACTATAAACAGTTTATTCTGCTTCGCACCAGCGATGCTCCGCTCGTACACATAGTGAAACCTTCTCTCACCATCATAACAGCAACTCATTAAGATGCAAGTTAGACATGGACAATAAAACAATGTCAATAATTATCGAAATATAATTCTCATCAATTGAATATAACAGAAAATCATTATATTTTGATACAATGCACATTGAGGATGTATAACACTCTGCTTTTAATGTTCCACCTCATTTCTTTACTGTTCAATATTTGGATTTTTCTGCCTTTAAAGACATTTATTGTGATAATTGTCAACATTGACTGATATGAACATTTCAGCCACTTAATTTTCTCCACAGTAAAACCAGCAAAAGTAAATTTGGACGGTATCATGTTCTTGTTATGACAAATACAACCCCTGATGTCACTGCCCTCTAGTGGCAAAAAAGAAAACCCCTCTCTGTTTCTGATTTATTTCATGCAGGGATTGAATAGATTTTTATTTGTATCATGTATGTGAATCCTTGTTGAGTAGCATGTTTGCAGCGTCATGCCATTGCAGAAAATAATTGATGATACTCTGATGTGGTTACCTGCAGGTTATTCAGAGAGGGTCTCGAGCCCCCAGAGGACGGATTGTACGGCATCAGAAACTCTGGAACCAAAACCTCCCAGGTAACAAAACATGAAGCTGCAGAACTTAGTGACTTCAAAACAAAAAGTAAAAGACAACATCTCGTTTTGACCTCCGCAGTGCCTGATGTTTGATTTTCAAGTTAGGACCTAAATAATCTTTATTTCCTGAAAAGTGACTTCATTATCTTCATTCTACATTTGCAGATATATTGAACCAATCGTGTATATATACTGAAAACAATGTTGGTTTTATATGACAACACATTTGTATTGCATTGTGTTTTCCAGGTGTTGGTGGTGTGGGATGTCAGTTTAGCCAAAGCCAGAAACTACCGACTGTTTGTGGACGTAAGAAACACACACACTGCTCTTTGTTAAATTCATTATCTGTGTAATGATGAGATATAACGTGACGGGAGAAACTTTTGCTCTTTGAACAGAATGACCAAATGTTTCTGGATGGTGAAGTGACCTTCCCCTCCCTGTCAGCTCTGATCGAACACTACCACAACCATCCTCTTCCTCACCACGGCTCGCTCTGCCTGCAGAAGCCTTTCATGAGACTTTGAGCGTCGGATCCACACACAGTCAGCAGAGCTCAGACCTCCGTGATGGCATGAATTGACATGCAAACAAACAAACAAATGAATGGGTGAAACCATAAAGTCCCAACAACTGAAACCGGAGCAGGAGAACCACTCACGAGTGGTGAGGTCCAATCCAAGAGCGAGTCAGATGGACGTGGAGTGTTTTGTCCACAGAGGGGCGCTGTGACACAATACCACACAGTTGACTCCTGGAATCTGTCTGATCGCAAAACCCACAGCTGCAGATTTTAGTTCATCAGAATCCGTTCAGCATTTTTTATTTAAACGTTGTAAAATAGACATTTTGAAAGTATAACTCATGCCTCGTTATAATATTACTGGTGCCACATGTTTGGAAACAGCTTTTCCAGTTTGTGCCGCACTGACTTTAATACTGCACATGACTATATGTAAATGCTTTATCTACTGTAAAATAAATGTGTCTATAAAAATGTAAATACAACATTTTCTACAGACGTGTAATATGTTGAGAATTTATAAAGGATTGTTGAGAGTCTCTGGTTGTTTTCTTTTTAAACTGGAACTTCTGCAGCTTCATAATGACATTAAAACCAAACTAGAATCACCTCCCTGTGGTTGTACACCTCCACCAACCAGAGCAGTTTCAATCTATAGATATTTATTTATCCAAATGTCATATATGATGTCATATGAGGATTTTCTGGAGACGTTCATGAAGCAAAAATGTGACTGTGGCATCGCAGCAATCTTGAACTTTAACCTCCAAATTCTAGTTAAGTCCATTTGTAAGTTTCTGATATATCACATTCACCAGAGCAGGAGGTTGAAGTGACCTTGACCTTTGACCCTCGACCACCAAAATCAAATTAGTTCATCTTTCAGTCCAACTGAACATTTGAGCCAAGTTCTAAGAGGTTCCCTGAAGGCGTCCTGTTCATAACCATAGGATGGACGACCTAAACGTATTAACTCCAAACCATGAATTTAGATCCTCACAGTGTTCTTCATAACTCAGGATCCTGCTCGTGAGCCTGAAAAGGAGGATTTTCTATTTTTGTATTTCGTTAAAAAGTATTTCCAGCCTTCAGACCTGTGTGGGTTAGAAGACTTTCAGAGAGACGGAGGCCACCGAGCTGTTCACTGGATTTTTGTGGGGGTATGTGTGTTTTGAGGGAATGTAAAAATCTGGGACAGAAGCCTTGGGGTGTATCAGCAGCCATCAGCCATCACTGAAGATCAGGTTCAATCCTCTGATAAAAACTGCGGGAGCCGATAAAAGCTGGCAGCTCGCAGCACTCTGGAACATCCACAGGCGAGATGATCAGAAGGAGGAGAAATAACTTCTGACACACGGAGGGTAAAGAGCTGAGGTCGGTTACAAGACCCATCTTTGAAAAGACAGAAATAATCATGAACTTTCTTTGTACAGCACCTTTGAAAACACAGGTTTAAAAGGCTTTATGAAAAAAAACGATGAATATTACTGCTTTTAATGTGTGATTATGACGTGTATTTGAAGTTTTAATTTGGGATTGATGTGTCTTTTGTTAGATTTTTATGTCTTATTATGTGTGTTTTATATTTTGATTGTGTGATTGTGATTTATATTTTGCTCAGGTCCTGTTTCACTCGCTCGGTCAACGAGAATCAGAGAAACTGCTGTATGCAAATTTAATCCACCATTGTTCCTGTTATTACCAATTGTGTCCACGGGGGGGGGGGGGGTAATTATATCACAATCCAGAAACACTTAAAGGTCCAGTGTTTAGATTTAGGAGAAAATAATCCTCATGATGTTTTCACTCGTTCGTTTCATCTAAATTGTATGAATTGTAGTTTTCTTTACCCCAGAAAAGACCTTTATATTTAAGTACTTTATATTTACATACTTTATATTTACATGGAGGGGGTCCTCTCTGCGGAGGCCGCCATGTTATCTACCAACAATAGATTAAAATCTATAGTTTGTATATGATAATAATAATAATAATATTCATCTGTATGTTGGTGTGTAGATATAAAAACTGTTAATCACAGGTTCATCTACAGTTTTATAGAACTCATGACATCTGCTGGAACAGGATTTATTAATTCTCTGATATGAATCATTTCAATCCTTAATGAGAGTTGATTATTTCTCTCTCTCTCTCGCTCTCTCTCTTTCTTCTTCTCCCTCTCACCCCCCCCCCTCCCCCTCTTTCTCCTTCTCACTCCCTCTCTCTCCCTCTCTCTCTCTCCTTCTCTCTCTCTCCTTCTCTCTCTCTCCCTCTCTCTCTCTCCTTCTCTCTCTCTCCTTCTCTCTCTCTCCCTCTCTCTCTCTCCTTCTCTCTCTCTCCCTCTCTCTCTCTCTTACCGGAGGCCGAGCTGCGGCGCGTGGTGGTAGAGGGACATCAAAGAGAGGCGCGTGCTGCTGCTCGGTCCGGTCCGCACGAGCGCCCCTGGACCGTGTGTGTGCGTGCGCGCGCGTGTGTGCATATATATATATATATGTGCGTGTGGTGTGGTTCGCGCGTGAACCGGCTGATTCAGGGAGCGAGCAGGCCGAGCGCGAGAGGCAGGAACCGACAGGACCCGACCCGCGAGCTCAGCTACAAGCGACCGATCCACCGGGAGACATGGTCCCGTCCACACCGGGGATCCTCCTCCTCCTCCTGCTCCTGTGTCTCCACAGCACCGACAACGTGCACGGTAAGTCTCCACCTCACCGGGGCCGGGTTAGCTACCGTGGCCGAGCTGCGTGCACCTGTCTCGGCTGCTCCTTGAAGGAACGACCGCCTCCGGGCTCGTCAACCTCCGAGCGAAGCGCTCCGACTCACCGCCTTTGTGGGGACCGACGCCGCACGCTCCCCGCAGCCTGAGCGTGTTTACCGTGTTTCCACGCAGTGTTTGAATCCCGGTGGATCGGTCACGGTGTTGAGGCTGAAATGAAATGGAACGTGGGGGCTGGTGGAGGAGGGGAGGCCCCGTTTGGTTTGTGCTGCTCCCCCGAACATCAAGTCCTTGTCGCGGCTCATTCTTGTCCAATCATCGGTCATTTAATTTCCCTGTTAGAAATAAAACGTCTGATGTGACATGAACATACGTGTTCTCCTCCATCTCCTCCATCTCCTCATCTCCTCCACCCCCAGGGAGGACGGTCATTTATTTATTTAATCTTGAAGTGGAGGAGAAGGGAGGACAGGGGGAGGAAAGAGGGGGAGGACAGTGGCCTGTGGATGGAGGGAGGACACGGGGGGAAGCAGCTGTGTTCGCAGGTGATCTCAATGGAGGCCTGATGATGAGCAGAGGGAATCGAACCTACTTTTGAATAAGTGACACAGAAGTGTTCTGAGATTGTTGGTCTGTAATTCAATCAGGAGCGACTTCCTCTGATCAACCAGACTGAAGAGAATCTACCGAAACAACCCGATGTTCACAGAGTTCATGAGAAAAGACTGCGTCTGACATAGAGACAGAACGAGAGGTGAGTTCAGGGACTGGAAGCTGGACGTGTCTCTGTGTCCAGCTAAGAAAATTGGAAGCAGCAAACGTTTGGTTCTTATCTCGACTGGCTCAGCGTTTGAAGCTGCCTGTTTGGAATGGACGGTTTTTGTTTGGCCTTGATTCGGAGCAGACGAGGCAAAGATACGAGACTGTAAATAATTATTTGCCAATGATTCCCTTCCTTCCAGCTCCTCTTGAATTTGACCTCGTTGTCGTGATTTTCACCCTTTTGATCCTCGGCATGTTAAAGAAAAAAAAACACATGTGGTGTTTTCACGTTTGTACATTTCCATGGTAACCGTGAGCTCCACCAATCAGACGTCGATTTTGGGTAGTGTAGTTCTTCTCCTTGACTTTATACGAATAAAACCGTCAGTTGACATCATTCCGACAGGAGGATCTAACATTGTTTCGCTAGCTCGTGGTGAGTCTACCCTGGATGGTTAAAACATTATGGAACTTAACTGCAGCAGTGAAAAGTAAAATCCACAGAATCCTGAAGTCACTTCTGCTGCCTGAAGAAGCTGATGAGTCAAAGTTCAAGCTGAAGTTGAAGCTCGACGACGCACAACGTCAAGTGGAGAATCGGTTGTCGCGAAAACATTTTTTTTTTTTCACAATGAAACTGATTTAACTTTATTTCTGTTCAGGTGTGTGGCTCGTAAGTTCCCAACTTTTCAAAATAAAAGCTCTGTAATTCAACAAAACGGGAATCGTACCGGTTAATATATCTTTTATCAGAAATATTACTCCTTAATATCGGCAGTGACACAGACGCCCTGGAATCCGCATGGAGTCCACTTCATGGGCTGTGGGTAACGTCGGAGTTGTTGGAGGAACATCGGTCTGGAGTATCTGACAGGGTTTGGTTCTTGTGGAGGTTCCTCTCCGGCCTCCGGCTCATGAAGCAGAAGATTTTATTAACGCAGTTACTAATTATGTCATCGGTGTCTGTGTTCGAACCAGAGAGTGAAACTGGGAGAAGCAGAGGAAGCTGTGGCTGCTTTTGTCTTGCACAGTTCCCCGTCTCTTGAATTTCCACCTACCGTGGAAAATGGCCTTTGGGGGGAAACACTGAATCAAAACTAGTACACACACACACACACACTGGGTAGCATACACCCACCACCTCCTTCTTATTCTCATCTCCAAACACACACGTACACACACACACACATGCATGAGTCTATTTGAACAAGACGTCACGCGTGTTAGATACCAGCGGAGCGGCAGCGTTAACACTGGCCTGATTTAAAATGGATGTTTTTCTTTTTTCCCTCCATGGTTACTGTGATATTTGCGAGACCCAGATCCTGAGCTATACGAGGAGGGGGGGGGGGGTGCGCTTGGTTCTTGAAGTGGGCGGGGTGGTGGACAGGAGGAGGAGGAGCAGTACACTGCAACCATTTCTGTTACTGGGGAAAATTGCATTACCATGACCTCCAGTGTGACAGCGTTTATACAGCGCACAATGATGGAGTACTGTGCGGGGGAGATGAAGCCTGGAGAGCCTGTTGAATCTGTGGTTTCAGACCCACGGGTACTGTGGTACTGTGGGTGGGGGGGTGATCATCATGTGATTTAGAGCTGAAGCTTTCAGATCAAGACAAGAGGCTTTTAAGGAGATGGTCGACTTTGATCGACACATTTTTATCATCTGTCTCAAATAAACTTCTGGACTGTCGGAGGGAAGATTCCTTTAGCCAAGCTTTTTGTTTTTTTACCTTAGAATTTAGAAGAGGCATGTTTTTGATATATTGTACAATTTGATATCGAGTGATATTCATTCTTTCACAGATGTGAAAATCTTTTGTTACACAGAATAAACTATGCAGCCAGGATGTGCGTTTGTTTACAGAAGTTTATTTTGTAATGTTTTAGGTGAAAGGATCTTCTGGCAGATATCGATGTATCATCTTTACCCTAGAATGACCCTTTATATTTAAATACTTTATATTTACGTACTTTCTATGTAAATACTTTACGGGTCCTCTCTACGGAGGCCGCCATGTTTTTTACCGTTGTCCAAACTGGACAAACTAAACAACTGAAGCTGCCACAGGTTCTATTTCATGATGGGAGGATGAGGGGTGTTCAGCTGCAACATGCAACTTCACCACTAGATGTCACTAAACTCTACTCACTGACCCTTTAAGTTTATGGTCACACTGTAAAATGTCAAGGTTTGATTTTGAATTCTGCGTAACAGGATCACAGTTGGTGAGGAAATCTCCAAATTCTAAAATCTCTTTTAATTTCTGCATTCTGTAAAATACGTTTTCTGTCGGCGAACATTAACGCAGACACTCATCCGTGTAAGGCTCATATCAGCTCACTCATATTTTAGTCCACATAGAATGTTTCTCTGCAGCCGCAGGAGAAACCTTGGTGCCGTTGTTGATTCTTCCAATCCAAAAATAAAAGGCACACAAAGGATTTTGTAGAAATGTTGACATTTGTCTTAATCGACGTGGTGAGAGGCTCCTCTGTGCTTTTTCTGTGGCTGTGAACCAGATGGAGGGTCCAGATTTTAAATGTCAGCTAAACACGGAGTCTGATGCTGCAGAGGGAAACAAAGCAGAGCGCTGTCGCAGGTCGGGACACTTCAGGTTCTGCAGAACTCCTTTACTGTGCTGATCGGATCAAAGTGCTGAGTGAGCAGTTTTCCAGAAAGTCGATGGGTTTCTGTAAAAACACTGGAACAGTGACCCGAGAGAAAACGCTAGAAGATAATCATTCCCTGGAACTTGAGTTCTTGGTTAACCTAAAATTAGTCTGAAGTATAAAGTTAAAACAAAATCTACATTTTAGGCATTAAAATATTGCACACTAGGTCTTAAATGCACTTAGGTATTTAAAACTAAAATTAAAAACTCTGAATTTCAGGACTTCAGTTCTTAAATGTGTTAGGTCTTAATTATGTTGATGCTTCTTTAACATAACTTCAGCTGGGCTTTAAAATTCACATTGACATTTGCATAACTTGATTTTTTTATTTGACAAGTTACGATATTGTAATTGTACCTGTAGTATTTTCTTAAATCAGGGTTTCTGTGGTGTCTTAACGATATCACACTCGGGTTGTTTTTATTAAGCTGTTTAAAGAGCATCTATAGTTTGAACCAAACCTTTCTTCTTTTACAAAAGAGTTTGTAATGATTGTTAATGATCGCTCATCCATCCATCAACCCTCCCGCTAGCTAAACTGTTATTCCCCGAGTGTCCCGGGGGGGGGCACAGTTCACCTGTCGATCAGAGACAAATAATCATTCGTGCTGACGTTCGCACCTACGGGCTGTTTGAAAATGATTAATGAAGAAACTGATTAGGAAAATGAGCAGTGATCTTTCTGTCAATAGTTTGAACAGAAGTTCTTATCAAACCCCAAAACTATTGAATAATGTGTGTGTGTGTGTGTGTGTGTGTGTGTGTGTGTGTGTGTGTGTGTGTGTGTGTCACTAATGGACTGGTCAGTTCTTTTAGTTGCTAATTGATTCATCAAACAATCTGAAATAAAAACATATTTGCTAGAACGTGATGACGTCATTACATTTCATTGTGTGTGGTTAAGACAAAGGTTGGTTTCAGTTTTTGTAAATAAACCTGTGACTTGCATCACTGCAGCCTGAGGCTCTTCGTGCTCCTCCCCCCCCCGACCTCTTCAGTGTGTGTCAGCAGTAGTCGTTGTGATGAGTCACGACGGAAACTCTTCTCACGTAACGTCTCGTGATGATGACTCACGTTTAAAGATGAGCCGTCGTCTTTTTCTACCACAGCCTGAAAATAAAGATGGACGACAGGTTTAATCCTATAAAGTGAAGCCAATATCTCTTGATCACCACCTGGTGGCCGGCTGCAGTATAGGATAAAGAATAAAGTTTCTGGGGCAAAAAAAAGTTCCAGTTATTTTTTTTTGTGAATGTCCCCAAAGTCTGGCCCAGTTTTTCTTTCTCCTATTTGAGCAAACACCTGTAACGGTGAATCTTTGACCCCTCCGTGGAGTTACTGTCCTCAGCCTCTTTCATTTCTCTGGGCTCCATTGACCGACCTGAACAGACCCACAGTCCCGACCGCGGCCAGCCTCAAGGGCAGACGGTTATTTTAAGACCTGGAGTCGTCACTATCGCCACAGACGGCACGTTGTGCACGCTGCACTGCAACAAACACTTTCTAGGACAGAGTGGAAATCCGGCTGTTTCTGTCCCGTGTGAAAGGGAAACAAAGTTACTGTAGTTTCACGTCTTTCAACTACAAATCAAATTTTATATTTAAAAGTTATTAAGTGACACTAATGGAGGAAGTAATGGAGGTTAAGTTTTTATCCTCGTTTGTTCATTTGTCTGTTAGTTGGCAGGATGAAGCAGAAACTAGTGGACGGATTAACAAGATGTGGTGCGTCAGGAACGTGTGTAATAAAAGTCATGAAGAAATCTAAAAGCCCAGAACACGATTTATTCCAACACATTTAGAAAATCTAATTTAAAGATTGATTAATTGACTTTATTGTTATATTGATTATTTTCCCGTCGGTTCAGCTCTGGTAAACCTGATGTTAACGTGTGTGTGTGTGTGTGTGTGTGTGGTCACACACTGTATAATTCAAGGACGTTTTATCTCCGCTGTGTTTATTGAGCTGTGTAAATGTAAATCAGTTTGTTTTAGGAAGAAATAAGAAATCAAACTTGATGTGGCGCTGGTGCACAGCGGCTCAGTGGTGGCTGCTCTGTTCTGTTTAAAACTATTGTACTGTAATGCTGAAACGACTGCTCTGTGGGGAGCCCTGCTAATTACATCTAAACAGACAGTAAATGATGATTATGAAAACATTTGGGACAATTAACACTTAATTGTTTCTGTTTTTTTTTCTTCCTGCGCAGGTACGAAGACAGAATGTGAGGCCAGCCAGTTTCAGTGTGGAAACGGTCGCTGCATCCCGTCCATCTGGCAGTGTGACGGAGACGAGGACTGCACCGACGGCAGCGACGAGGACTCCTGTGGTGAGAGAATAAACACTGGTGACACACACTGAGCACAGAGAGCTGCTGACAACACGAGTGTCAGGACAGAGGAACGACTGTTCTTATGTAAAAACCACGAGCAGCTGTTCGCTTGAGGCCGAGCCGCAGTGGTTTGGACCGATCGGTGTCAAACGAGGGAGGAAATGTTTAATATATTAAAGAATATCGTCAATGACTCTGAAGATGTTTTCAGGCTCTGATGACAGAGAGATTTAACGGAGGTTTGATATTTTATATTTTAACTAAATGAATAAAGAGAACTTGAATTAGAAAGTAAACTAATTATTTAACGTAAAATACAAATACATATAATTTTGATCGGCCATCTGATGAATCTGTCGACCAAACCTCTGAAGACCACGTGGTTGAGCCACAGCGTCGCACCGGATGTCATGTCACTGTCTGAAGCCGAGGCTGATGTCACCAGCTTTCTTCTGGTCGGGGGGTCACGTGACGGGAGCTTGACGAATCGGTGAAGGCGACATCATGATCGGAAAAAACCCGATGAGCTGATGAGCATCTTCGTCTCGAGGCTCGTTTCCACAGAATACAGAAGTTTTATTGTTTTTGAAAACGCTCTCTTGTCTAAAAGTCCTGACGATCCACGTGAGCGAGGATGATTCTGTTGTCTCCTCTGCTCGTGTTCAGTACGTGGGCTGGAAATGTTCTGTTTTCATAAAGTTGTTGCAGCCTCTGACGACGAGTGGGCGACTGGAGGACAATTCATCCTGCGGCAGCAAACAATATGTAAATTGGAAAAAGCGTCCGATCTATGTGACGGGTCACCTCACAGGGAAACTTGGTTTTTCACATTCGTTTTTACATGACAGATGTCATGTGGTGTTCGCTTGGCCCGTCCGATAAACCTTCCCAGAATCCCTCGGTACAGAATGACCCGGTGATGGGAAGATGGAGCTGAGCTAAATATGGATACGACAGAAGTGTGTGTCGCTGTATATCACAGACCTCCTTTCTCCATTTTCTTGTCGCTCATTTATCTGGGTCATATGATACTGGGAGGGAGGATAGAGCAGCGTGAGGGAGAGAAGGAGGGAGAGAGGGAGCTGCAGAAAAAAGAACAGATGATCGTGGTGTGGGCGATTTTGTGAAAATGGCAAAATCCTGATAACCAGAAAAAAAAAACCCCTTCAGATATAAATTTAGAGGAAACTTCCTGCAGGGATTTTCTTTGCAGAGCGGATGACAAACTGCTTCACATGGTAAAACCCATTTCTGGTCATTTTCACAGACGTCCCTGCAGCCAGTGGAACCCAACACTTCCTGCAGATGTTTCAAAATAAAAGCCTAGCAGAAAGGGATGGGAGTAAACCAGTGACTTGTTGAAACCCACACAGACTCTGTTGTACGTCAGGAAGTTATTGATATTCCTGATGATCTCATCCTTTCCCTCCGTCTTTATGCCTTTTGTATTTCCTGCTCTCTTGCTAAACCGTTGCCTAGCAGCAGTGCTCTCCCCGTTTAAGCGTAGCTGAATTGTCATGTCCACAAACTGCTTGTGACCATCTGTCCGTCAGTCCTTCTCCTTCATCCTCTCTCTCTGCGTCACCGTCGTTTGTGTTGCCTCCGTCTGTTCTTCAGCCGCTGGAAGGTCGAAGCCGTTTTTGTTTTTAACTCTCAGCCGCGACACAATCCAAAATGTCCACTGGCTCGAGGTCGTCCCAGTTGTTCTTAAATACTCATCAGCTGTGTGATATCGTTTCTAAATCAGTTTCCATTTGTTCTCTCGTAGTTTCTCTTCGTCTCTCGGTGTTTTTGTTCTTGCCGTCTTCCTCCTCCGAGTAAAAAATGAATGAATGCAGCAGTTGAATCTCCAGAGGATCACTTTGAAACCCTTTTCAATGCAAATGCAAAGTTTGTGCTTTGTCAAATTTAAACTCGAAACCTTTTCACCTGCGAAAGGAAGAAACTGTGGCAGGTCGAGTGTAATTCATATTTAGGAGACTTTCTCCTCTTACCTTGTTTTCTTAATTCATGTGTTTCTCTTATGTCTCATTAAAGAACATGAAGTCTGTGTGAGACTCTGCTCTGAAATGAATCTGTCTCCTCTCTCTCCAGTTAAGAAGATGTGTGAAGAGTTGGACTTCGTGTGTCAAAACGGCCAGTGTGTCCCGAAGAGGTGGCACTGTGACGGGGAGCCGGACTGCGAGGACGGGTCGGACGAGAGTCTGGAAATCTGCCGTGAGTAGATATTTTCTTCTCTGACGAACTTCATTTGAAGGTTTCATGTCAGATGTTGTTCTGGGGAACGTGTCAATGGAAGATTTGCAACTCAAACCTATGAGTACGTTTTATTCAAGCCATCATCGTTCGCGATTTGAGGATAAACCGATTAGTTTGGTCACCGTCACACATTCAGATATAACTCAAGCATTCATTCAAAGTGATTTATCTCGTTCACGTTATGTGGAAACACATTCAAAAGCTTTGTAACCTGGTTTTGTTGAGGTAGTGTTCTGTAAACATGTCCGTGCTGCGTGATGGATTATTATTCCTGTCATATCTGCCACATGAGAGAACGCGCGGCTCAGCCACTTCTATTATTTATAAATGACTCTGAATAAATAGCTTTATTCAGAGGGGTGCGGAGCAGCAGAGTGCATGAATGCAGATGAAGAACAAGGCTGAACATAATGAACACCAACGTATGAACCCAGGACTTGTGCACGTGTCCCCCAGGAGGTCGGCCGGTGAGAGCGGCCTTAATTACTACAGACTCTGTACCTGCAGTGAAGTGCACAGGAAGCACATAACCAGCCAACTGACCTCAGAACAGTTTATTCAACCTGCTCACGTTCCTGTCGCTGTAAATGTGGTGCAGGCTCAGTGTTTTTGTTTCAACAGACACAATCAGTCTTTACACTTGTAGGCAACGTGTAAATGCACAGTGTCAGGAAGCTCTTCAGGTTTATATTTGCTGGTATTGTTTGTGGAGGATTAGCCCAAAATCTCCTCTGAGCTTTAAGCAGCTTATAAAACAGTTTTCCACAGAGGGAAACTTTCCTCAGGAACGAGGACGCTTTGCGGGAACCAGCGTCCCCAGCGATCGGGCCCCGTCAAACACACAAGTTGTTTAAATTGAACTGAAGAGCTGCTGAGCTGAGAATCACTGTGATGTGAGGCCTCACTGAGGTGGAATCTGAGAAACAGGCTGTGATAGCAAGTGTTTAAAAACCAAAGTCGGGTTTTAATGAGGAGCTTCTCGTCTGCGCCGCCGCCGTCACACAGACAAATGGACTTTGGCGTCTGCTCAGCTTCAGAGATAAACATCAGAGGGAAGATGAAGACACTTGTTGGTTTGATGTTTGCTTCCTGGATTCACCCTGATAGAAAGGAAAAGCTCTCTTTCATCACACGGGTCTGAAACTGAACACTGAGTCTCGGGTCTGTTTACAGCGTTAAGACGGCAAATTACCCAGATGTGCAGAAACGGGGCTCTCAGTTTTTTTTTTTATTTTTTATATCGTAATAGAAAAGGAAAAACTCTCAGCTCCTGTTTTAATCATTATCATCTTTCCTGTGAAACAACTCTGCATCAGTATGAGATATATATTTTTACATATCCGGCCGTTTTGCAAAACTGAAAAAGAAAAAGTTTTGTTCAAAAGCTTGAAATCTGATCAAAATGGTTTTGCGTGATTAAAACCATGTTCTGAAACTTTGGTCAATGTTTTCATGGACTAAAAAAAACTGATTCCCTGCGAACATTATTTTGTATTTTCCTTCTTGTAAACCGCAGCCACTCTGGTTTTACCGTGTTTCTCTGAAACACTTCAGATTAGTCACCGTTCTCTCAGTGCTTCAGTTTCCTGGTTTCAAACCTTGTGCACAAACGCAAGGAAACTTATTTTGGAACTTTGTGTAACCGTGGGGTTTCTCTATAATTATGTGTTGAACTTACTGTGAAGTTCCCCGACACAATGTTTATGATCTGACACGACACAGATGGAACTGAATCGGTTTATCTTCTTCGTTTATTGCCGCGTATTCAAACATAATAAAACATTTGACTAAGCTCTTAACTGACGATACGCTGTTGACGGAGCAGCGCAGACGTGCATGATGGGGTCAGACTCCATCTCTTGCAGTGTTTCAACACAGCAGCGGTGCAGAGATAAACCGTTACCTGTAAGAAAACAGGGCACATCCCGGCCGCGCTGCTCGGATGGGGCCCTGCGGCGTGCTCTGCCAAAATAAGAGCGCTGTAATTTGTGGAGTTATTCAAGGTTCAACGCTCTGAGCTGTTCCCAAGGACCTCCAGAGTTTCTACAGTGTGAGGAAGAGGAAGTAAAGTGCTGGAGAGTGATGGTACATCAATATTCCCCGTGACGGATGGAGGTTTGGTTCGTCCCAGTCTGTATCAGCTCAGAACTGGAGGAATCATTTCTGATTGTTCTTCTTCTTTCCTCCATCTTCTTTCAAAATGTGTCACCTGAAGTATCAGTGAACAGATTTTTTAACAGCGTTGAGTGAACAGAACTGAGCTGCAGCAGACGAACAGTCGTTCCAGAGTTTACGACCTGAACGAGCTGAACGCTGCTTCTCCAGGTTTAGTTTTGACTCTTTGTGCAGAACCTGGTTCATAACGCAGCCGAGTCACCACTGACCCTCAGGTCCATTTGCTCCTGATTAATTTGATCTTTTTTTAAATCCACCTCTTTAAAATTCTGCCTCAGTGGAGACGCCTGCTGAGAACGTGAGTGAGTCAAAGTCCCGCTGTGGCTTCTGATCTCTCGCTCAAATGACTGTGTGACATTGGGCTGTGCTCCACTTGCACGTGTGTGTGTGTGTTTTAAGTTCCAGTCTTGGCGTACGTGCAGGTCAAACCCTGCGACTACAGCTGTTGTATCTCTGTACTGTTTGATCAGCTGTTGCATGTGACCTGGCAGCGTTGAATGGAATCTTAAAGTGTGTGTGTGTGTGTGTGTGTG